TGAGACACTGTTTCTGTGTCAAAGGACATGTATCATACGGACATTTATGCCAAACTAGCTTACTGACAGTGGCAGGCTGTCGTGGTGTACCTGAACACGGTGGCGACGACGTTGAGAAACAAATGACTTACGGAGACTGGAATGGTCCGCGAGTTACCGCCCACAATGAGATGTTGTTCATCCAGGCTACGAACAAATCTCTTGTTTTAGGGTTGAGTCTCAGCAGTACTGTAGTAGTTCTTCAGTCTTGACAGACCCCCGTGTGGGTTCCGGGGCCCTATTGTGGGGAAAACAAGAATAGACCCACTGCCTCCCCAAAAGCATGTCGTAAGAGTCGACTAACTGGGGAGCTTCCTTTGAAGTCGGAGTGCATCTGCCTGAGAGGCAAGGAACCAGCAGTCTGCATTCAATTGAATAAGATCTGTAAAACTGATGCACATGCAACACTCAGGTTCTGGAGCATGACTGCAGTCCAGAAGTGGACGAACAACCAGAACTTTACGCCAGAGTGTACAGCTGGTGAACACAAAGAAGAAGAAGAAGTCTTGACAGATGTTATATCCGAGAGTTATCTTTGATGGTGCGTTTGGCTAGCGGACTTCACCCATGGTTCAAATGGACTTTGATTTACGTTTTCGCCCATTCATGGAGGTAAGGGGGGGGGGGGGGCACCAACTCCGAGATCCCCTGCCAACTCGGTTCAGGTCACAAAGATGAGCCCTTGGTCGTGGCGCATGAGTGATCCCCATGGTGCTGTATTTTTTGCAGGCATGACGCTGGTTCCCAGGTGGACCCAAACTTTAATTTCCACAAAGGAAAAACAGCCGGCGGGATGTTAACCATATCACTCATCTAGGGCCGTTCGGTCTATACAAATATGAGTCTAACCACATATACCCGATGCACATCTGACATGTCGGGGACCTTTATTATTTATTAGTGTCAGTTCGGCACAATGAGAGACAATTCATCATCATCGTCATCTTTATTTTAGTGGAATGTAATCATCTTCATCTATCAACAGTAAGTCGAACAGCTTAAGAAGATTTTGGGAGCGACAGAGATGTGGTTTCTGAGACGAATGTTACGAATACCAAGGACGATCAGAGTATTACCAACGATTGTTTGAAAGAAGCTAACGAAAGTAGATCTCTTTATACGACAATAAAAAGAGGACAAACACTGTTTTTTGGTCACGCTATGAGAAGAGAAAAATTAGAAAACATCGTGACAACTGGAAAAATCAATGGAAAGAGGCTGAGAAGGGAGATGATGCTGGATTGGCTGAAACTATGGTATGTAGGGATATCAATAAGAGAGCTGTTCCAAGCAACCAGTGTTCGTGATCTGTGGGTGGAGTGGCATGAGCGCCTGCGCCAGTTGGCAGAGCACATGATGATACTTGCTGTTTATATGACTCCCCCCCCCCCCCTAAACCGGTCACCTTTAGCTACATGGCTTCAGGCACGATATATTTCTTCTGTATGGCTACTCTGAGATATTACTTCGCTCGCAACATTTGGGACCTGTCTGCAACAGTGCATCTCATCACAGTATTGGGGTATCTCTCGTGAATCACTCGCAGGGCTTCTGTCTACTCTTTCTACAATATTCTAAATGCGTTTAAGTTGAACTCTTTGACGTGGTGAGCATTCCAGGATTTTAATATATCACCGAAATGATCAAGCTCTGATTAACATGAACGGCATTCTTTGCCCCATGGCCATATAGGCTATAATATGAAGTATGTGGTATATTTATCTGTAACCGACCCCCAACCCCTGCCCTCTTTCCCGGACCCTGTTGAATGAAATAAATACAAGAATTTAAATATCTAGGGGAGATTTTTCTCTGAGATGGAAGAACGAGTAGAGAGAGAGAGAGAGAGAGAGAGAGAGAGAGAGAGAGAGAGAGAGATAGAGAGAGAGAGAGAGAGAGAGAGAGAGAGAAATAGAGGGAGACAGAGAAAGTGAGAGAGAGAGAGAGAGAGAGAGAGAGAGAGAGAGAGAGAGAGAGAGAGAGAGAGAGAGATCATATTAACAGTAACGTGCTTAGTTAGGCGGTCGCTTTACTTCCCATGACATTCTCTGGTGCTTATGGCTCGGTTGACCTGGGAGGTAAGGTCAACTGACATAAGTGTATGACGTTTATTTAGCTTTGATACGTCCAGCTTTTATATATATTGCTAAATTGTATAATTTAGTCTAAACAGTTTCTTTTAATATTTCATAATGTGTGTATTGAAAGCTGTGGAATCCCACATCTGTCAACGTTTTTATGTTGTCTATAGTGTGGAAGTCGGCTCTGTGGCTAAGTCGATGCGAACGCTCGTAATGCCGGGGTGCCCTGTTCGATCCCAGCTGCGGGCTATGCGCCTTGCGTTTGGTTTCGACAGTGGTATCAGGGAGCCTACCGTCCAGAGGGCAATGGCAAAACTACTGGACTTAAATTTGCCTAGAGAAACCACACAACAGCCAGGAACTGCTGGGGTTGGTTCTGCAACGCCCTGTAAAGGATACGCAACTAACCTTTTTGGACAGTGTGGAAAAAGGCTGAATTTTATTTTGTTCCTTGGTAAAATATGCCTGTCATTTTGAGAAGTTTGTTGTTGGTGTTTTGTTGGTCTCTGCGAATGCTACGTGCTACTTCCTGTTAAAATTATTCTAAAATGGCAGAAGAGTGAGTGTGAATTATCTAATCTTAATCATTAGACATCTTTTTTGAATAATAGATTGCACTTTATAGTTTTGCTAGTGTTTGGTAAATAATTTATAAGTTTTGCCATGGGATTATAGTAATGCATTTTAAGTACTGATTCAAGCATTTATAGTTATCGACATGTTTGTATTATCGGATTTAGGTTTGCTAGATGAATAAACGGAGTATATCCAAGTCCAGTGCTACTGGCACTATCCTTCCTGTTTTAGTTTAGCCAGTAATTCATTTTAGTGTCTTTTTTATTAATTTACACATACATCAGAATATTTGTAATGGCGTTTTACGGTTTTATTTTGTCCTTGTAATTGTATCTTATCGTTTTGTAGTACTAAACTAATGTGCTTGCGAGTTTCAGTTGCTAGCAGCACACATTAATTTAATGATTAAATATTTTTGTTTTTGTTTTGAATTTGTAAAGTCACTCAGTGTAGTATGTGATCTTGATTATTATCACTGGTAACTCAAAACTAATAGTAAACAACTGAGCTGTTTGCGTACCAATATCTATCTACATTTACAATAATTTACTATTTAATTTACATATCAGAATTCTAGATTTGAGACAGGTATAATGCAAAATAGAATACAGTTTAAGTATAGGAGTCCTATTACTATTAGGACTTGATACTGATAGGAACAGGAGAATGAAACATGATTGATGAAAAAAAAATAATTATCAGTAACAGGCAAACTTACACTTAGAGTTAGTCAGCTGAGTTACTTACTAAGTTAGTGAGTTACTGACTTCCAAGCAAAGGTCACTCGAAGAGATGAATAGAGGTGGGTGATAACTGGGCCTCAGTCACATGTAAATTGCAGACTTCTTTCCGTCGACTATACCGCCACCGCCGAGAGTATCTCCCACTCTTTTTCGCGTGAAGTGGGGCTTAACAGACTTAACTCTTTGAGTCCCAGGGGGTTTAGCATCACAGGCCCAAGGGTAGTCAAAAGAGATGTAAAATCGGCGCATCTTGCGTTCATTGGGCTTCGAGGTAGGAATCTATGAACGTATGATGCGTTCCTTGGGACTCAAAGAGTTAACTATATGGGTGGGACTCACGAGCAAATAAAATAAAGGAAGCTGCAGGAGATGCTGTAGCTGCTGCTCGTGAGTCCCAGCCATCTAGTTTAGCCCTGCGCGTAGCAGGCAGGAGATACTCTCGTCGGTGACTTTAACTCAGCAGAAGCCTTTCTGCGGTATGCTGTGTAGTGCCGGAAAAAGTAAGGTGCGCAGTTTACATGTGACTGAGGCCCTGTTAGTAGCGATTTCGTTATTATGGAATGTAAACAATTAAACCGGAAATGGATTTGCTTGGTAACGCAAGGGACTTCCTGTCCCTGAATTTTAAGCGTTTCCATACTAGTCACTATAAAAACCCGAGTTACTCAATACTGGCTGTTCAGAAACTAATCCGAACACGCGCGATACCTGTAGCAGATGTCAGACATCTGAATAGCATGTATTTTTAGAAAAGACGTTTACTCACTAAAAAGTATTTTGTAATTTGGATTAGGGCTAGTAAATTCTTTAATATCTTTTTTTTTAGGCTTTCCATAATCTCCATTGTAGTAATATTGAACTCTGCATCCATTTTTACATACAGATGTAAAATTTCAGTTAGATATGTTCTTTAATAGTTTCAGAATTTAATTTTTTCCCGCATCCAGTCTTGTAAAATTTAGTTGAATTAGTTAGGTTAAAACAAAATGGCGGACGGCGTGAATTCAAAAGCGTGTCTGTTATATATTGACAATGCTTATAATAGGAGCAAATTAATGTTCAGATAATACAATTTTAAGTTGAAATAGTAATTTATCTTTGTATGTTTATTACTTTTTCTAAATTTTATTAGCTTACAAAATGATAATGATCAGTTTTCTGACACACCTAATGGCTGAATAATTTCTTCAGATTTTTGCTTGGAAACTGAACACAGATTATTAATATTTTTTTTTTGAGGCTGTCCATCATCTCTATTGTGGTATCATCAAACTCTGCGTCCATTTTTACATACATGTGTAAAATTTCAGTTAGATATGTTCTTTAATAGTTTTAGAATTAAATTTTTTCTGCATCCAGTCTTGTAAAATTTAGTTGAATTAGTTAGGTTTAAACAAAATGGCGGACGGCGTGAATACAAAAGCGTGTCTGTTATATATTGACAATGCTTATAATAGGAGCATAATATTGTTCAGATAATGCAATTTTAAGTTAAAATAGTAATTTATCTTTGTAGTTTTATTACTTTTACTAAATTTAATTAGCTGAATATATTATTTTGATGATTTTCCGACACGCTAGAAAATGGCTAAATAATTTTTTCAGGTTTTTGCTTTGCAAATGAACAGACAGTGCACTCATTAATCAAACAAATTAATGAAATTCACTGAATGCCATTGTGCTAATGTTGTATTTTTTTAATATACAACCTTTTTAACTTTTTCTAATGCATAAATTATAATTTAATATGAGTAATTGTTTTTGTAGGTATTTTTTATCTATTGACCCTCACATACAAAATTTCACGCAACATGCCTGGACTTCTTGATATTGCGTATAATTTTAACAATCATAACTATTTTATATTTTATTAATTTTTTATATAAATAAAATAATAATATTACAAAAACTATTTCATTATAATCTAATATTTTAAATATGTATATAATTATTTATAATATTATTAGTCTTTTATTTAACATTGTTTCTGTTTAACTTGATTTTTAGATTTTGACCGAGCAGTCACAATGACAGTGGCAAAAAGGACAGCAGCATATCTTAGATCACATCTGTCAGTCTTTGAGATAATATTTACTAGCCAGCAAAAAAGATCACATGAGTCATAGATACGCTAATAAAGTAATCAAGTAGAATGTGCTTTCGACTCTTACCTTATGAAACGCTGCTCCGTGAAAACACAACATAAATCCAAAGTGAATCACAAAGGAACTTATTTAATAATTTTACTCCATGAAAACATAGCACTGAATCACGAATCGGGTATGAGTGAATACTTTAGATTATTTTGAAAAAGTAAATAAAGTATTAAGCAGCGACTGGTTAAGAAGAGGGGGACTCTCTGGTGAAATGTGCTCATCATCAATAAAATGAAAGAATAACTCGCAAAGACTGAAAAAAGGATTGTGTTAAACCAGTAAGAAGGGTGCATATTTTCACTTCATTATCAAACAATATGGGGGTCTCCGTAGCAAAGTGGTCAAGCCGTTAACCTCGCGCTTGAAAGGTTGCGGTGTGTCCATTTTACAACTGCGTTGTTCGACTCAAAAATGACATTTTTTGGGGTTAGCGGGGACCTCTGAGGACTGTTGCTGGAGCTACGGTATTCAGGCTTCGTGCTAAGCTCTCGGCATGCGGCTAACCATTCACGGTTATGTGAAGAAAGACCAAGCCATATGAAACCAGTAACAATGCAATGACGTCAATCCGCTCGCTATCAAACATTTTTTAACAGTGGAGTTATAAAGCAAAGCCAATTTCGGTCAGATGTGCACACACAAACACAAAAGCGACAGTGCGAGAAAAAGCATTTTTCAACAAATAGGAAGAGATACATCATAACACAGAGAATCGTTACAAAAGTATGCATATTACAGTATACGTTTTGCAAGACTAATTGGATAATAATAATTCATAAGGTATTTAATTTTAATTAATAATACTGATAATTTTACCCATTTTTCTTTGTTAATTAGATTTGCATTACATCATATTTTTAAAAAAGCAATAACTTTAGTTAGAGCTTGCTGCCCTGAATGCAATGATATATGGTTGCTAAGGGGTTCGGCAAAAAACATAAGAGGTGTAGACAAAAAGCATACAAATTTTGTCACTTTAGGTCCAGTTTTCACTTGGGAACAGGCCACCATCTTGTTTCTGTTTTTTTCTATTAAAATTTTTGGGAACACTTTCCGTCACTAAAACGTGAATATCTCCGCTTAGAACTGACATACAGACTTCACTGAGGTACCGTTGAACTCTGTTTTTAAACCTCTAAACAGCTACCGTGGTTTAAAAGCAAAAGGCCCAAAAAATAAAATTGGACTAAACAAGTGTTAGGTTAAAATTTCGGCCTCTATAATTTGGGACCGTTATTCGGAGAATAGCCAAGCTTTTTCTTTGATTTCTCCTCATCTCGCGTCCTCCGAGATTTCATAAGGAGTTCCCCATTAAATCCCATATTCTAGGGGGGTTATAGCATGACTTTGTTCAATGTACGTAATCTTCATATAAATATAATTATAATGTACCAAAACGATGTGTGCGCCATGTCAGCAGGCGGTAGACAAACTGTCTTCTGCACGAATGTGCTTAACTTTCTTTTATGCGATTGACTGTACAGCTAACTTTTTGTCTGCATAAATGTATTGGTTTTTGTAGCGTATATTGTATCATCATTTTCAGGGCGTGTATGTGTTCCTTCAATCATTCATTCCTGTGAAATGAACACCCGACTGACACTGCTACTCTAACGCCCCTACATTGTGAGTCTTTCCTAGGAATTCCCCACAAAACCTGGGGGACCTCGAGATGGGCTAAAATAAAAGAAAACACCCCTCCTATTGGTTTCCGAGCCTCGTCGTAGAGAAAACAAAAGACCCACTGCCTCCCCAACAAGCATGTCTTAAGAGTCTAATTGCAATATTGCTTATTGCAGCAGCTATTGCGTTAACGGGAGAGTTATTTCAGTCCATCGCAGTGTATGCAGAAACGGGTGTAAGGTAACAACTATTTGTATTCAGCCCGACCGCAAGTATTCGGCAGAATGCCGAATAGTTATTAGGTCCACTATTCGGCCCTGAAGCGAATACAAAGCTAATATTTGGTACAGCCCTAATAAACAGGCACTGCAACTGGAAATAAATGGATTAAGGAAGTAAAGATGTCCAAGAGAAACCTGTGATATCGAAAGGATTGCACAGGATTAAACAGAATGAAGGACTAGACTGAGCAATATGTGATATATAAAGACTGCATGATTTATGTACGCACACACATACATACATGCTATAAATGTTAAAGATACAAACACTAACATACATTTTTTTTCTGCTGCTTCTATTTTGTAAAGTGATATAAAGCTGCCCAGAGTTCCCGAGTCTGTGTTGAAGAAGAGGAAGCAAACAGCTGCTGGCAGATCAAAAGCTGTTAAAGCTGATACAGCAAACAGAAAGGTAAGATTTTTAGTTTCATCATTATCATGATCTGTAAAGATGAAAAAGTATGTTATGTAATAATCCATTTCAACTAAATGTTAAAAATACTGAAATGCTATATGTAACCTGTTTTGCTGCTTGGAATATGTGCAAAGAACTTGAGAAGAGTTTGGTGGCAACAAAGCTGTATTTTTGAAAAGAATATTGTTATTGCATATGTTTGACTGCAAAAGATTCACAGAAAGAGGGTAATGAAAGTAAAACGTAGGCAACAACTAAGAGACACTGGTTTGGTCATATGTGGACGAGACAGACATGAAAAACTGTATACTTAAAATAATGCTGACACAAACAATACATAGCACAGTTTATTTCCTGGCAATATTGGCTGTGTTGTTTGGTCCGCATTATTTTTCGCTTTTGCAGCTGTACACTGGCGGAAAATTCTTTTTGTTTGACCACTTTTGGACTGCAGCTCTGCTCTAGAACCTGAGTGTTGCATGTGCATCAGTTTTACAGATCTGATTCACTTGAATGCAGACTGTTGGTTCCTTGCCTCTCAGGCAGATGCACTTGGACTTCAAAGGAAGCTTCCAATAAGTCGACTTTTACGACAGGCTTTTGGGTTTTCCCCACAATGGTTCCCCTGGAACACACACTGGGATTTGGTCCGCATAATTTGTTAATATTTACAGTTATGTATATTTTACCTAGAGTCAATTAGAATTTTAGAAAGGCTAAGAAGGGAGATGGCTCACACACAAAAGTTGAGAAAAACCAGTCGACACCCTTAGACTTTTGCTGTGGGGGAAGCATCATCTACTCTTTGCCCAGCATACTATAAAGATTCTTTAATCAGTTGTCAATAGAGTAACTTCTTCAGCGATGTCTGGTCGTCTGTAATAATTTAATGCTTCACTTGGAATGGATCTTGACGTAGACCTGACATGTACCTTGATTTACACCAACTTTAACGTCTAGGGTTGACAACACAAACGCCGCTCAGCTTCTTGGTACATTCTGTCAGTTTATTCTCGTCCATTTATTTCACATGTTCAACACATTATTCACATTTATTTCACTCGCGACATTTTTTAACATTAAACATTTGCGCAACATAAAGACGACATCTTCAAATACTACAACCGTCTTCTCTGACTTCTGATGATCGACTGACCACGAGGCTAGCTCGGGCTTTCCCTCGCTTCCTCGACTAGGCACAAGTATCTCGTGCTGTCCCTTGTTGCACGGACTTTCTGCTTGCCACCATGTAATCGTGAGGACCATGCACAGCACCTCATCAAAGATGCTTTAATCAGTTGTCAATAGAGTAACTTCTTCAGCGATGTCTGGTCGTCTGCTTAATCCACTGTGGACTATTTGAAGTTTAAACAACAGAACATCATGGCACATGGGAAGTAACCCATAAGTGCTTCGTTCTTTCTTCTAACTCAAGTCTGAGGCCAAAGAATCTCAGCACGGTGCGCAGGCTCCGTAGCCATTTGTAGCTCGACAGCTCCTTCAGGAGAAGCCTACCAATACAAATTGTAATGTCTGTTCAGAGCTGTCTAGCTTATACCTAATTTGTACATGTTTGTTGAGTCTGCAGTGTCCCTTGCATAATCAGAAGATGTGAACTTGGTTTAAAAAAAAAAAAATAGATGTTCAGTCAAGGAGTAACAAGTCAAGTTACATTTTCGGTGGTTTCATTATAGCTGTATGAATTTGTCATAAATTTGTGTTATGTTTTCAAAATTAGTTTTTCAATTTATTATCTTTTAACAGAAACAAGCAGCAGCAAAGAAAAGGACTTTTTTCAAGCGAGCTGAGAAATTTGTGAAAGAGTACAGAGCTAAAGAGCGAGATGCTATCAGACTTGCCCGGTTGGCTAAAAGGAATGTGAATGTAAACGTTCCTGCTGAGTCAGGGTTGGTCTTTGTCATCAGAATCAGAGGGTAATGGAAGTTCTATTAACATTTCTAATCATTTGTATTAAAGGTTTTAATTTATCATATTTTGCTGAGTATAAGACTGCCCCGTATACATGACGAATCCTTTTTTTGAGCCAACTATTAAGAAACAAATTTTTTTAACACTCCATTCATATGGCACCCCCCAACTCAAATTTTAAACTTTAATTTTTTTTTGAAACATGTCTGATACATATAAAAATTTTCTGTAATATCGGCTATCAAATACCTGCAAATGACCGCATTTGTGGGAAAGAGCTCAGACTTATAAAAGAGGTCAAGGCCCTTTGGAAACAAGCAACAGAATCAGTAGAGAAAGAAGATTATTATGGCCTGGAGAGAATGAGGCACCTGGGTGTAACCAGAGGGTCTGACCGGGTCACAACATTCAGAGGAAAGACAAGACGGACTTTTAACCAGATTGTGACCGGTACCATCTGTATTGGAACTCAGCGCTGGCTGCTGAAGATGATGACAGAGCATGCATGGGAATGCCCTGAGTGCTGTGATGTCAATTCTTGACTCAACTCCACATAAACACCTTGCTGCCATTCATTCATTATCCTGTTGTGCCGTTATATGTCACATAGGGCTCACTGTCTATTTCTCCATTCCCTTCTATCCGGTACAGTCAGTTCAGTATCATCGATGGAATCCTACTTCGCATTCACCAGCTGTGAATTCCGGCAGAAAGTCATGTTTGTTCATCCGTGTGTGACTTTGGCTTTATAACATTCAACCTCATTTTATATTTCACACGTGAGACCTTTTTCCTAGCCACCATACCTAAAAATTTTCTGCTTGCAGTATTAAAGTATAAAGTCATTTATTCTTTCAGTGTCATTGGCATTCATCAGCGACCACGCAAAGTTCTCCAGCTCTTCAAGTTGCGTCAGATCAACACTGGAATCTTCTTGAAATTAAATAAAGCCACACTCAGCATGCTGAAAATTGCAGAGCCATATCTCACATGGGGGTAGGTCTACATATTTCTTGATTTGTCATGCTTACAGTGATTCCAGTGACCAAGAGGTGAAGAAAAGACGCTGGCATTGGATTGGACACACATTGGGAAAACCTGAGAACTATATAACCAGAATGTCTTTGCACTGGAACCCACCGGGCATAGAAATAAAGGCAGACGTAAAACACATGGAAAAGGAAGCTACAGAGGGAAGTCGGATGAGAATATGCGGTGAGCTGCATTCAAAGACGAAGGATAGAAAAACTTAGTGTGTCTGTTGAGAGCCTATGCTCCATTGGGAGGCAGAAGGGAGAAGGGAAGATAAGTGTTCAGTTGTATATGTTTAAGATTTATGTTTTTTTTATCAGTGCTGAAGTTTGTAACAAATGAATGTAGAAACATTTTAAATTAATTATTTCATAGCTTCCCCAGCAATTAGTTTTTTCAAATTGAAATTCCGTATGAGGAATTTCTGATAAGAAAAACCATTTCTTGGGTGCCCAGTGAGTTCTCATTATCAGGTATGCACTGTATTTTGAGAGAGTGGAACTATGTTAGCGCAGTGGATGGGCACTCGCCTGCTCATGCAAACTATGGGGTTGAATCTGCATCTTCCCCTGTGGATTCTGGAACCCCTTTGAATAGATCCTTTCACAAGCATGTTGTAAGAGGTGACTAACTGGTGCTTCCTTCAAAGTCCCAGTGCACCTGCCTAAGAGGTGAGGAACCATCAGTCTGCATCAAAATAAACCAATATATGTAAAACAAATGTGCACGCAAAACTCTCTATAACCAAAATCCAGAACAGCCTGAACAACCAAAACTTTCTGCCAGAGTTGACGGTCGGTAATGGCAAAGAGAAGAAAAAACAAGTAGAAGAATCTACACCTAGGCATATTTTAAGACATAATTGACATAGGGTACTCATGTTGACTCAGCTCAAAATGTGATGGGAAGTAAGGATGGCTGGTGCAGTGTTGACATCTGCCACTGAGTGCCGACTGGTGTATAGAAATATAGGTCACTTTTGCACTATATGCCTGATACGTTAGTGCAGTGCGAAGTTTCCTGACCCACGTTACAAAAATATATACTTTTAAAGTTGTTTTTTTTTAAGAAATAGATGAAGGAAAATGTTTTTAAAAAAAGCTTTAGTCTAAAAAATTCATGTTTGTTTGGAGTCAAAGGGTTATAGCCTCAAAATTTTTTGTTCTCAGGGTGCCCAGTCTAAAGACAGTCAGAGAAGTAATTTACAAACGAGGCTATGGCAAAGTTGACCGCAAGAAGGTTCCATTGACTGACAATTCTGTCATAGAAAAGGAATTAGGTATGTTATATTATATTTGTGTTACTGTTTTTTTTTTTTTTAAATTCCTGTCCTATTTGTGAAGTGTTTTGTTATCTCAGCTGTGATTGTTTTTTTTTTTTTTTTTTAATTAGGTATCACAATTCTAAGGGTTTGTCAGTTGTTTTAGGGCTGATGCTCTGTCATCTGATAAAAAGTAGCAGAAGAACCATTTCTTGGACTGGTCGTGAAGTTTACCCTAACATATATACCTGTTTTAGGTCACTCAGTCATTCTGTATATTTCTGCATTGGTGCATCTATGCATGCCTATGTTCTAAATGTATTGACAGCATAGTTCTCTCAAATCTTTCTTGATGTTCACTGGCTGTCAACTCTGGCAGAAAGTTCTGGTTGTTCATCCACTTCTGGATTTCAGTCTTGTTCTGGAACTTGAGTTTCGCTTGCACATCTGTTTCACAGATCTGGCTTATTTTTGAGCAGGCTGTTGATTCCTCACCTCTAGAACAGATGCTGTTAGCTTCAAAAGAAAAACCACCAATTAGTCAGCTTTATAATATTTTTTTTTACAAAGTGCACCTTTTTGAAAGACAAGGAAACAACAGACTGCATTGATCTGTAGAACAGATGCACGCATAAATTCAAGACCTGGAACAAGGCCAAAGTTTTATGGTTTATAGGGACTGACAGTTGCCTACTAATCACTTTTCAGCTTTTCACTGTATCAGATGTTTCACTCGTTCATAACTTGGACACTAATAAAGATATGGCAAGGAAATTTGGAATGGATTTAACTGTGTTCATGCGAAGTCAGGTGAGATAACAGGTGCTGGAAATTGCCACCACTGGGGTCCGGGCCTTGAAAGCAAACATCGGTGTGTGGCCATCCAAGCAGTGACACCCGACGTACTGAGATGTACTTTCTACAACATGGAATGTGCGTCCAGCACTGCCCTGGATGCGGGTGCTGGCCATTTCCAGAACCTGTTGTGATGTCACCCGACTTCGCATGAACACATGTTAAGTCCACTCCAAATTTCTTGTTAAATCTTTATTAGTGCCTGAGTTATGTATGAAATACTGCGTTCCGCCCTTAGTGAAATACCCGATATATGACAGTTACTGATACAGTAACTTCTTTATTTTTGGTAGTCTCACTGATACCAGTTTGAAGCCTACTGTCATGTTTTTCTGTATTTGTCTAGCACTTCTTGGGTGGCTAGAGTGATGGTTTTTGTCATCTTTTTGCAGATTTCAGCTACATCATTTATTTATCTCTTTCTTGATCTTCCTCTCACACTAGATGGCTGAACCATTTCATTGTCTGTCAAAATAATCCAGACATAGTCTTATTTCAACTTTCTCCCTAATGCTGGTATTCACTGACTTGACTAATGTTGTTAGTGGCTTTTAATTGGGTTCTTGATGAGATGTCATTATTTTATGCAAGTAACACTCTGTGCTAGGCGGTTGCATGGCCTGGTTCAATTTTTCAACTTGCTACAGTATCATCCAACACTATTCCAGCCTTGACAATCTTGGTTGTTTTGGCTGTTATCATGTTGGAGACATGCATGTCATATTTAATTTCATTAGTTGTCATCATCATCTCAGGTCTTGATTTAGTTTATTTTATTTCATTGTTGCTTTTTTGCTATGGCCGAATGGTTAAGAAAATGGGCTCTCAAGGAGACCCAGATTTGAATCTTCTGTAAAGTTGGGGATTTGTTCCATTAGCCGAAAAAGATTAAAATTCTCACCTGCAGGTCTGTGAGAACAGCACAAGCCATGTGAGCTGAAACCATCAGGTTTAAAGACTCACTTCCAGGGGCCACAAAAGTACTAACTACAGTTTGTTGACAGTTGGTTGTGGTTTACTAATACTCATTTTAATTCTGTGTGTCTGCATTGATATGTTTGAGATGTCTGTTTTATAAATGTGTAACTTAATAGTCGGAGGCTGCTTGAGTTTTGTGGGAGATTATTAGCTTTATGCTTCTTGTCAGTGTTTATTGTACTGTTGTACCAGTTGTATTTTTCCACCTGCTTCATTTTTGCCAGACACACTTCCCAAACTACCACTCTGGTTCTACATTGAAATTTTCGGTGTTGTTATTCTTTCTTTTATCAGCTTATTGCAAACTTATTGCACAAGGTACTGAATTCTCAGGGTGCGATGTGTTGTTAAAACTTAATTGCCTTTGATTGTGTAAATAGCTTTGAGACTTTAGGGTTAGTGATCATTTTGTTGAAATAGCAATAATGATATATTTTTGTTGGTTGTAAACAAAATTGAACACTATTTCATAATTCTGACATACACAGGTTCGTCACCTTCAGCCTGTTTGGCAGCAGACTTCTTTGTTGTCCTTCTTAGCATTCACTGACTGTAAACTTCGGAATAAAGTTCTGATTGTTCATCCACTTCTGAACATGTGCTCTTGTTCCAGAGCTTGAGTTGGGCCTGCACATCTGTTTCACAGATCTGGTACATTTGTATGCATGAGTGTTGGTTCCTTGCTGCTCAGGCAGATGCACTCTGACTTCGGACTAGCCACTTTATGTTGATTCAAATAATAAATTTTACAGATGTAAAATTTCCTAGTAAAACCACACAACCTGTAGGTGGGGGTTGATTTATGACACCCTATATAGGATTTGTCACTAAAATATGCTTTTACTTCTCCCATTTTAGGAGACAAAGATATCATTTGTATGGAAGATCTCATCCATGAGATCATGACACTTGGTCCCAACTTCAAGTACGCCACCAATTTCCTGATGCCATTTAAGATGTCCCCTCCCCTGTGTGGCTGGCGGCGGAAGTACAGGCACTTCAAGGATGGAGGTTCATTTGGTGACAGAGGCACTGCAATTGATGCCTTGGTGAAACAGATGATCTAAACACTGGAGTGTGAGTGTGATGTACATAGACTGACGGTAACAGACATAGACAGTGCTTCATGAGCATTTTAAAAATAAATGCTCGTGAAATATACATTATCAGTTGATTTACTTCCATTTTATATGTGTATGTGTGTATATCTTTGTCTCAATGTCATTGGATTTTGAAATGAGAAGGCCACTGGTTGTGACTCTGGTCATCCAGTAATCTATACAGATTAATTTCCATTGATTGTCACCGGTCCTACCTGGAATCTCCATAATGCATGTAAAGAGCATGTCGGCATTACGTGTTCAGTATTCTGTGGTGCCTGTCCATATGCGGAAAGTCCTCAGTCTTCAATTTCCAGTACATGTCGCTGTAGACTCATTTGTATCCATAAAAGTAAAGTAACCTTTTCCACGCTGTTAGGCGTATAGGGCTAGACCTATATTTTTATAGACCAATCGGCACCAGATGGGTGATGTGGTCAGCATAATGCCGGCCGCCTCTACTTCCAGGGGCTGCACCCGGTACCCACTCAAAGCTGGGTCGACCTGGGAGCTAGTGTCATTTTTTGAAAAAGTCTGGCTCCGCCAGGGGGCAAACCCACGACCTTCTGATCCATGGCGAGTGTCTAGCCGCTCCGCCACGGGGACTCCCATTTGTATCCATGGCGCAGCCTAAATACAATGGTATGTTTCCTATGCGTGAGGTGGTTAACTAGGTCTTTGTAATTGTATTCTGTGTGAGGTATAATTGCTGACTTGATCTGTTTTATTTATATTTCTACAGTGCAGATCACTTGAGGTGATCTCAGATGTAACAAAATTCTGTCAGAGAGAACAATTTGTTTATCCCTGTGTTACGGGAGGTTGGTGTTAAAATGATTGGGAGGAGGTATGATCCTAATTGAAGGCAATGATTCAACTACCAACTGGCCCCACTTTTTCGTCATCCAAAGATCTCGTTACCAGCCAAATAACGGATGATCGACAGCATTTTCATCCCTACGTTATGTTATCAGTGCCAAACGTGGACAATGAACAAATCACATATGCAAAAATTAAGTGTGAAATGAGATGTCTCCGAAGAGTCACCAACAATACACGAAGAGACAGAGTCACAAACGTCGGCATTAGAGACAAAGTTGGAACAAGAGTATGCATGGAACATATTGAAAAACGGAGAATGAAGTGGTTTGGTCATTTAGTAAGAATGCAACCGGATCAGATTGCCTATAAGGCCTTTTACAATAGAACATCGGGAAGAAAGGCCAGAGGAAGACCCAGGATAAAATGGATAGATGGAGTAGCTGAATACGGCCAGAAGATCCAGAAAACTCACTCAAATCACGCAAGAGGCACAAAACAAATATTTTAAACCACGACACTGGGCTGCAACCCGGTAAAAGTGAAGAAGACAATAGATAGATAGATTCAAAACAAATTGAACATAAATTAATTCTACTAAGCCAAACCTAGCTAAAACAGTAGGGCATGATTTTCGCATTAACTGTTGGACACAGTCCAAACATGATTAATAGACAACTTCACCGCAGCCACATTAACAGTCCATTTCAAATGTGTTAATTCTTCTGACTTAACACCAGAGAGTAATGTGTACCCAAAAAAAGGTGTATTATGGGTTCATTGTTGACATGGGGAGCGAACACATTCTGTATCAAATCATAAATACTTTGACTTCACTATACCTCTATAGGTCAACAGCTGCCTTCAAATAATACCGGTTTACCCAACAAATCGGCATACAGTCCTGTTGAGCTAAAGCATCAGTGTTAAATCATCCTGCCCTCTGCAGAAATATTGTTTGTACTGTTTTGTTTGAGACGAAGTTTCTTTTGTCTATTGGTGCGTTTTGTCTTTGAGCAAGGTGTGTCTCTGTACAAAGAGAACTGATTGCTCACATCAGGAGGGGACAATCTACATTCTTTTGGCATGTAATGAGGAGGAGAAAACTGGAGTACATCATGGGGGGGGGGGGTCCAAGTCAAAAGTGATAGAAAGTGTACTGTGTGTGGATATACATGATTACCACCATCCCACACCATGGACTATAAGAAAAAAGTATGTGCTGGGTGGTAGTAAAGTGAAAGGAAAGATCCCTTTTCACGCCTTAAGGCGCGTCAGGCATGTGGGAAAAGCACCTATATTTTTTTTTACAGAACATTCATCAGCACTAGGTGGGTAATTTGGTCAGCATTACGCCGGCCGTCTTTACTTCCTCATGACCTATTACTTCCTGGTACCCATTTTGAGCTGGGCAGCCAGCCCCATACCATGATAAAAATCCACACAGCTAGAAGTGGGTTTCGATCGTGGTACGTTGGAATGAGTCAGACTCACACTGCCTAAGCCACTGACGCCTTTGTTTGATAAGAGGGGATGCAATAAATGAATACCTGCTCAGTGCCAAATGGTCTATAATATATAGGTCGAACACTATGTGCCCAAAATGCCTGAAAGTTTGGAAAAGGTGTCTTTAACTTTTACATGTGAGATTTTACCGGCTCATCATGATGATGATACAAGTCTTGTTAGAAAACAAAATTGTGGTGCTTGCTAGCGCGTACACACATCTAGTGATACATGTCGGACATATTCTTGACAGTCTTGTTGCGTGGCATGGAGGTGTTTCAGCACACGAACTAAAATATGCTGCAGAAGATCGCAGATTGTGGAGAGGCATGATCGCCCACGCCAGTCGAGAAGGCACCTGATGGTGATGATAATGCCTGTCTCTGCAGTGAAAGTTGGCCACAGTCTGTCACTGCTGTCTTTGGGGATATTATATGCTGATCCCTGTGTGGCCTTCCTGTGCCCCATTGTGGGGGAGAACTAGAATAGACCCACTGCCTTCCCAAGTATGTCGATCAATTGGGGGTTTCCTTCAGACTGCATCTGCCTGAGAGGCAAGGAACCAACAATCTGCATAGAGTTAAGTCAGATCTGTTTAACGGATGTGTGTGCAATACTCATGTTTCGGAACAAGACGAAAAGTCCTAAGTTGGGCAACACAACCAGAAGTTTCCGCCGGAGTTTACGGTCTGTGAACGCGAGGAAAGAGAAGATGAAATCTGCACTGTGTCCACAACGAAGCTTTGCTACAGTATATCACTGCGGTCTTTAGGGATATTGCATGATGAAATCCCAGTTTCTTCCACAGTGCGCCTCTGTGTTGACAGACAAATTACAAGAACGATTTTCTTCCTAAAAACTCGGCTGTAGGAATCGAACTGAGGATCACAACATTCTTAACTGCATTTGCTAACCTTTATGATTTTTTCAACGGATCAACATCTTGGCATAGAGGTTAACCGATAAGTGCTCCGTTCTTCTTCAAATTCAAGCCTGAGTCCGAAACATTTCAGTGCAGTGCACGAACTCCGCCACAGCGGCAAGGTTCATGAAATACTTTGGGTAGACTTTTAACTCAAAATTTTGCCCGGGCAGCGCCGTTATGGTACTCTTTTCGATTTCCAACTGCCATTGTTCGTTCGTTTGAAGAATAACAAAAATTCCAAACGTAGTCCTTTTTTAACTGCCTGGAGGCCTGTTTTTCAAGGACGAGTCATTTGCTATCTGAGCTGGATTTCTTACTTTTGTGGCGATGATTTTCGCCTGGGTTTTCTGTTCGTTGTTACCTCATGTCAGCAGCGTGGGCTTGGCGGGCTATTGCATTTTGGGGAGTGGACATGGCAGTCCTGAAAAGGACAGCCATATGTGCCTGGGTGGCCTGGAACGGGATGGGCGGGGTCTGGCTTCTGTTGTCAGGTTCTGGTAATGCCTGATTGGTCTTGTGCGGGTGAGTTTTCCGGTCCGGTGAGCTGGGTTTGGTCCATGTCATGGCGGCTTTGGTCAGTTCTGGTTGGCAAATGGCTTCTTGATTCTACGATCGGGCTGGTCCATCTGCCGGGCTGTTTGTGGGCGGTTTATCTGGTTTAATATTGGCGGTGTCTGTTTGGTGTTCCCTGCCTCCTTTGATTTCGTTTGGTCGCTTTTATCCGTTCATAGGCTTCTTCCACCTTGTCCAAGAATCGGTTTAATTTTGCGACGGATGCCCTGCCTTTTTCATCGGCTAAGAGTGTACCTTTTAAAAACATCTCGTCAAATTGGGTGCATTAGCGGCCTTGCTCAAATACAATCTTGTGCGGGGGAGCTTGTTCATTGTTGATTTCTGCCAACTTTCTCAGGCCAGCCTCACTTATGTCCTTAGGGATTACAATTTCTTGTGCCTCTGAACACAATGTAATCGCCTCGCTTTCAACTTTACTGGCTGTCGCCTCTTTGCTTCCTTCGAGAATAGTGGCCTCATCTGCGGTTGGGGTCGCCTCTGTAGCTTCGGACACGGCTTCTTCATCTGGCTGGACAGTGCCTTCCTCATCTGTTTCTGTACTTTTGTCGGCCCTGCTGATGTTTGGTTTTGCGGCTGGTGCCTTGCTTCTCTCTGCGAGTAAGAGTTCTCGTTCTTGTTTTGCTTCTCGTGTAGCTGCTTCTGCTGTTGTTTTGACTAGCAGGGCGACTTCTCTGTACGTGGACTCTCTGGCTTCGTTTAGTAAGGCTGTCTCTGCCTTTCTTTCTTCTCGTTCGGCTTGTCGGTAGGCTGCTGCCTGGTCCTGATCTGTCTTCAGCTGTGTTAGAAGGCCTTGGAGTTTTTTGTTTGCTTCATTTACTTCTGCTAGCAGCTTGGTGTGGTGCGCAGCTTCTGCTATTCTGTCTCGCTTCTGGGCTTTGATTTCGCCGAGTGTTTGGGAGATTAGTCCCAGCATCTCGAGTCTTTCAGCGGTGGCCTTCTCTTTGTCTGCTGTCAGTTTCTGGACTGCGATTTTGAGTGCTCTTACTTCTTGGGTTGTCGCGGTGTTGTTTGCGATTGGGATCACCTTCTCTGGTCTTCTCTCAATTCTTGGTATTGCTGCTTGCACTTTTTAAGGTAGGTGCAGCCCATGTATCTGGCGCTGTGGGGCCCTCCACAGTTTGAACATCGTCTGCTACTGTTAGGC